ATTTATCAAAATAGTAGTGATATTTTAGGAATAAAAATAATAATGAGCAGGGATCCACTAAATAGTTAAACTTTTAACTTTAAGGGATTAAAAATTTTAATTTATGCTGTGAAAGGTGACAAATAAAATAATGCACATGCAACATAATATAAATGATATAGGAAACTATTGGTGGTTCTTAAAGGGTTAAGTAATGGTTTGTAAACATAAGATTATTTATTTTCAGCTGTTACAATCGTCCCTTTACTTATTGTTACAATTGTCCCCAAGACGCCATTTCAGCTTCATTTGTTAAAAACAATGCTAGTTAATTAGCAAAACTAATCTTTTTTTTTATTGAAATGTTAATTAAGGTGTCCACTTACATATTCGGTTACTAATTTTTATTTGTTTAAACAAAATTACTTTGTTACAATATAATATTCTAATACCAAAAAAAGTACTTGCGTGGCGTGAAAATATCTTTTGTGATGTAACTCTTTCAAAAGTACATAAAAATGGTTGCCATCAGGGGTGTACATGTAGATTTATTAAATACACCTTGTGCGCCACCTAGGAACCAAATCTATAACCCGACACTCGAAATATTTGCTCTGTTACAATCGTACCCTGTTACAATTGACCCCACTCTCCCCTACGTAATAAAAAGAATATTTATTCCATTTGCAAGCCTAATTTTATAATTTAAATTACACAAATTTATTAGAATATTTAAGGTCAATGGCTCGAAGAGTTAGGATGGAACACGTGAAAATACGTTCATGCAATCAAAATGACGCTGATCATGTTTACATTCTAACTTCAAAATTATAGTATGTTTATTATTAAAATAAAATACATAAGAAATATTTCTTATAGGTATCTTACATTACTTTATTAAACACTTTATTCGCTTCAAAAATGTACAAATTAAAAATAACAGTAGATATGTTTCAAGCGCTCGAAAATAGGCGTTGACTTTCAAGACTAGCCAGATGTGAATAAGAAAAAACAAAAGTGATCTGAAATATAAAACGCAAAGTTACCAACTGAGAATGAAAAAATAAAGACGAGAAACAAAATTATTAAAACCAGAGTAGCTCAGAAAGGAAAAAGTTGAAAGACAGAACAAGAACACACTGGCCGACAGGGGGAAATCAGGATAAAATGCATTTCCACGCGCTATGGGGAGTTGGTGAAGAACTTCTTCTTCTTCTCATTGGCACGACAGCCCAGGATGGGCCTTGGCCTTCTCAACAAGCCTATGCCAATACATTCTTCCCTTAGCCAAGGTTCTCCAGCTAATTACCTTTAAAATTTGTAGGTCCTTTTCAAGGCAGTCTAAAAATCTTAGGTTTGGTCGTCCTCTTTTTCTTGTACCTGTTGGCCTGGCACAGAAAACGTTTTTGGTTGTCCTGCTATCCTCCATTCTTATAATGTGGCCTGCCCATTTAATCCTTTAAATTTTGATAAATTTAATGACATAAGGTTCTTCATATGCTGTGTAAAGTTCCGTGTTTGATCTTCTAAACCAGGTACCGTTTTTACTTATTCCACCAAAAATGCTTCGCAGTATTTTTCTCTCAAATCTAGCTATCATATTTTCATCTCCACGGATCATTGTCCAGGTCTCACATGCGTATGTAAGCACTGATCGTATAAGACAGTTATAGAGTAGCACTTTTGCTTTTCTTTTTATAAGGCTTGACTTAAGATATTTTCTTAGGCGATAAAAACACTTATTGGCCATCGTGATTCTCGTGTGTATTTCTTGTGTAGTGACGTTTTTGTTGTTAATCTTAGACCCCAAATAGGTGAAACTATCAACGGCTTCGAATTTGTATGCTCCAATTTCAAACTGTGTTTCTTTATAGCCAACTTTTGTGTAGGGCCTATATTTAGTTTTATTTTCATTGATTCTTAATCCCATCTTAACGGCTTCCTTCTCCAGACATAAAAAGGATTGTGTAAGTGCTGTATGCGTTCTAGCTATAATATCTAAATCATCAGCAAAAGCCAATATTTGAGCTGATTTGTTGAAGATATTTCCTCGGGTGCAGATATTTGAGTCCCTTACTATTTTTTCTAATGCTAGATTAAAGAGGAGACATGCCAAGACATCTCCCTGTCGTACACCATTTTTAATTTCTATTGGATGGGAAAGACTATTCTGTATCTTGACCATGATTGTGGTTTCATTTAGTGTCAAGCTAATCAACTTCACTAGTTTCTCCGGTATATTAAATTCTCTTAGGGCTGATATTAGAGTTTTTCGGCAAACACTATCGTAGGCTGTTTTAAAATCAATAAACAGATGGTGCGTGTCAATACCAAATTTTATTGTCTTCTCTTGGTGAAGAACCAAATTCTATTGTCTTCTCTTGGTGAAGAACTAATGTCGCTAAAGATGGAATAAGCATTCATATGAATAAAACAAGATTCCAGAGCATCAAGATGAGCTGATGAGAATGGGTGGAAATATAATTGGTCTCACATCCTCTCTTAAAAATAAACTTTAAATTCTAACTTTATTGCTCTACTGTAACTTCACCCAATTATCAGCAGTTACAAGAGCGATCTATTAGCAAATCGCTCCTGTAACTTCACCCGATTACCGGCAGTTACAAGAGCGATCTATTAGCAAATCGTTTCTGTAACTTCAATGCAACTGGTTTGTGTTTCAGGAAAGAAAACTATTTTCAAGGGATAATTTTTTTAAAAAATTACCCCATTGTCTGCCAAAGAGTAAATATAACATGTAGTAGTGACAAGAAAACTGTCTCCATCAAAAAAAAAGTTTTTGATCAAGTGTGATTTAACTAGATGAACATTTTCTATTATTAACCCAACAATGTTCGGACGCAAAAAGTGGTCAATATATGGAAATAACCATGAGGAAAAAAGTGATAGTAAGTATTTGCCTATATCATGATCACCATACTTTCTGGTACTTACTACTTAAGTTTTAAAAAATTATTTTGCACTGATAACAGATCCAAATATAAATATTATATTTTTATCGTGTTTTGATAGACAGAAATAAGTTTTAATAATGAAATACTCCTGCTGCCATTTTTTTTTTAGTTTCGTAAAAAGAAACAGACTTTTTGAAAGGACGTTAGGCACAAATGGGTTAACTAGCACCTTTGATTGGAAGAAAATTGCAATCGAATGACTTCAGACAGGGATGTAAGCTGCACCAACAGATATAAAAAGGGGTGGCTATATTATGATAAACTATTGGGAGACAAAAAAAAAAAATCACATTTTTGAAGACATTTTTAAAGCTACGAATATCCGGAATTTGGCTAGATACATACCTGCCAACTTGAACAGACGCTGAACTAGATTTTACAAAGTAGTACTAAAACAACAATTTAAATTGAAAGTATTTTCTAAACATAGCACTACTTAAACATTTAAAAGTTAAATAAGTTGCAGGATACCTCGGTATTTGGCGCGTAATGCCACCAACCGATTCATCTTATTTTGGTTTGTTCTATGATCATAATATTCATAAGTCATGACGGAATAAGGTTATACTGGTCCAAAATTAACGGGGGAGATCCCCAGGGTCAATAGAGTTAAATAAGTTAAAATAAATCATACATACATATTTTTTAATTTTTGATTTGTCGTGGTAGGTTGAATTTTTTTTTGAAACTTTAAATTGAAGATTTAATACGTAAAAACGCTGTAATGTTGCTACCACTAAGAATTTTTTTTTCTCAATAACTGCGCAAGTTGGCAGCTATGTAGATATATGTATGCACTACAGGGCTGCCAACTACTACGCTTTTCGCATTATATTTTTTTGAGTGATAGACGATTATAAACTGAAGCATTCGGAATTTTTGGTAATTTTGCCAATATTTTAAAAGCCTCACTGAGAGTGCTGGTTATTGTTTTACAAAAATTACATGAATTTGTAAGCTTGTGCGCTTAATATAGGCTTACAAACCTTTGTCATGTAGAGGGACAAATTACACAATACAGAGAAAAATAGCGTCATTCGAACTCGTTACCTCCACGCTTTGCCCAGTGTTTGGCGGTTGATACCGCTCGGTCAGGGAGGCCCTTCGAGAATGCTGGAGCAAAGTGACTTTGCATATAAACTTTTAACTCATTCACATGTAGCAGTATCGAGCAGTATCACTCGCCAAAAGCTGTGCAAAACTTGGAGGTAGCGGGTTTGAATCTTGCTGTTACCCTGGATGTATCTTCTTGCTGTCCTTCTCTGTATTGTGCTATCTGTTCTGTTATTGACAAAGGTTTATAAGCCTAAATTGAGCACATAAGCTTGCAAATGTATATAATTCCAATAAACCAATAAACTTCCAATAAATCTTTATTATCATTGTTATCATTTATCTGGGCGCCTAAAACCGTATACGACCCTTTTTCTATACATCTTGAAAATTCAGACTTTAGGGTGACTCAGACTTCAGACTTTTTTACTAGCAATTTGAATGTAAATTGGAGAGAAAAGTAAAATCAAATATTTTGTATTCTGAATAAATATGCATCGCTACAAAATTCGGTAGAAATGGCAGCTATATTATTATGTTCAATTGAACTCTTAAAAACATTAAAGTAAGAATTCTCACTAGCACTAACGTGAATTTACTGCTAGTATTACCCATTTCTAAGCCAAATAGGAATATTGACCAAATTCAGCAGGAAACACATGTTTGGAAATACATTTGTGCCATGTCCGTCTTTAAGAGTGTTTTTATTTCTCATTACTAATAAAAAAAAGCCATTGCAAAATATTTTCCAATGAGATAAAAAAGAACTGTCGATAATAAATGCTAGAAAATATTCGAAAAATTCCACCTGCTGAAACGGTGCATAATTGATTCCATTGTGGAACGTGGGATTTCCCAACTTATATTCCATTTCAACTTGTTCGAAAAAAAAAGTGGACGAATTGGTGTAAACAAAACAGCACAAATGACTCCCACTTTTAAGAAGTTTTGAGGGACGTTACATCATAATCATAGAACACTTTCACTTGGTTGTCCCCCTCCTGAAGAGAACGTTTAGTTCCGTTTGGTCGATACAGCGTGACAAGAAGGCGTTGTCCCTATTTCGTTCTTCTGGGGTGGTTGAGAAGGGAGAAAGTGGTTCCATTCATTCGAACGTTCACTTTCGATGAGTGAAGGAATTGTGTGTTTGAGAACATGTGTTGCTTCGAATCTTGAAAAGGAAAACTCCAGTGAGTATGAGGAGCCGATTTGCTGCTTGGATAACTGTGATAGCGGTAAGTTCTGTTTCTATCAACGTTTCGGTTTTTTATTGCTTTCGATGAAAGTAAATGATATATATTTGTTTGATGTCAGCGTCCGATAGTGTTTTAACCTTATTTACGCCCAACTTTCTGTGCTGTTGAAATAGTAAAAGTGCCCTCCCCCATCAAAATAATGGTGACACATTCTGTTTACCAATGTGTACTAGTAAACATCATACCTGCCAAATTATCCGTTCTCCCAAAAAGAGTCTTCCCTGTGGTAGGGAAATAGCTATTGATGTGTTAATGGCAAATATATAATTCCCTTTCAGATATCACTTAAAACACGATAACTAGCAACAGGGATACCAACTGCTCCGCTTTCTGCGGAATTTTAATAAATTGGTAGCTAATTCATAAGTAAAACTTGAAGAATAAGTGATAATTTCGCCAACTCTTCAAAAGTCTCACCACGAGATGATTGACTTAGAATTGTTCTAAATACTCACTACCAGCCCAGATGGACTCTCAATGATTCATCGGATCTGACAAATCGGAATCAGATAAAATAATGACATTGCTAGTCTAGTATATAGACGATGCCAACATTAATATAGAAGAAATAGTGGCGAAAGAGCATCCAATCTGGACCAATTCCCCCCGAAATAATTGTAACAAGAATCAAGTGAAAATGCTACGATATTGTTACTACGTTAACTATAACATTTTTAGAAAATTCGGAAGCGTTGGCAAGTTTGAAATATACATAATATTTAAAGTCCTCCTGATTTTCACCTCAGGTGTCAATAGTAAGCATCCTTAAGGCTGCAGTGAAAAAGACTATATTAACCCTTTGACATACGAAGACGTCTGGGAGACATCATTTGTTTCATGTGTCAAAACAATAATTAACGTGTCTCTGATGTCTTCAACACATAGATGCCAACTTGCTCCTGACAGCAAATAAATATTTCAAAGTGGTAGTTTATCAATTGTGATTCTTGGTTTAATAAATTCAATTGAGTAGATTTTTATCCACCGCTATTTCTAAATAATTCGTAGACTTATATCATTCACCACTTTGGTTATGTCATGCTATACCTTTTAAAAAGCAAGCAAAAGTAGTCAAATATTTGCAAGATTTAGTTTGTAGTTATTTACCGTTTTATTATTGTTTTGGGGTGTCCGGAGCAGTTGACATCTCTGACAACATTCCGTTGCGAGTTTTTGCTTACAGTGCAATCAAAGATCATTTTTATATCATGATATGTCAAGGGGTTAAGGCTGATCAGTGATAAGACTGTAGGTCGGTCTGTAGCCAACATCAAGGGTAATACGAGGTTTTCACCAGTCACAAAAATGTTCGCAGCATAATTCAAAATTTCCCGCTCCAACTATTGTTTTTAGACTTAACTAATTTTTGACGATTCGAAATCCCCATTGAATCCGAAATTTCGGAATAGGAATTAGTTTTTAAAAAGTGGTAATTAACAGAACCACAACGAGAGGTTTTTGTTTGAATTTCTCATCCACATTAAATATCCTGTAACATTTACCCCATTACGGACTACCATTAAGAAAACACATCGTTTCGCAAAATGATGCCAGAAGTACTTTTATGGGTTATTTATATACTTATTTAGTAGTGTTATAATGTTATTTAGTAGTGGGTAATTTATGCTTCTACTGATTTCATATTTCCTAGTATTTACCTACTTTTTAGCATTCTGATATCATAGTTCCGTAATTAGGTGGGTATTAGCTGGCAGAGTTATCCGGTAGAAGTAATGCATTATTATTGTGATCAAAAATATCCTGTTTCTTAATTAAAAATTGCAAGGATGTAAAAAAAATAGTTACCAGTGATATTGTTTTGAAAATAGTTTGCATGAACGTGATCTTTTGGCAGCATTCACACTACATGCGATTGTCTGTGCGAATGCTTAGAAACTGCATGCAAGACGAACATGCGCGAATCGAAAGCAGCAAGAATACTGCATTATGAGATTAACTGCGCTACCAAGTCATTCACGCCGGAGCTATAAATAAATTTTATGAAAGCTCGACTTGTTATAAAAACTTCTGCTCTGGTTCTGCATTAGAAATTTTTTTTCAAAAATCACAAATTTTGGAAGGTGTGTCTATAAATAAAAAATATCCAGATGGATATTTCACCATAAAATATTTTAGTGTATCTTTTCACCAAAAATGGTGGGCAACTACTGTTTACCTAGCTGGTGTAGAATCAATGGCAGTTTCTGTCGTAGTAAAACACCAAGAATGTTCTTTACACTACTCGGTTAAGTAGCTGCCACCATTTTTTTAAAATTCAGTCATATAACTATTTATAATTGAGTCATAAACACATAAAGAGTCAGAAAAGTGACTTTTACAAGGCTATATAAAGCAAGAATCATTAAATTTGGTTGCATTTATGCACGAATTCTTAAAATAAAATAAGTTTGTAAATCAAATATTTAATAAAAGTTTACAGAGATTTGAGAATTAAAATATAAATATCCTTATAGCACAACTAAAAAAAAAACATACATAATTTAAGGGCGAACTTGAGCTTTTGTAGATGAAACGCAAAATTGAAGACAACAAGTAACTTCAAGCCAACTCGTAATAGATTGTGAACAATTACGGAGGAATCAAAAGCGCGCTAACATTGGAGTTTTCGGAAACGAAAATATTTAACGTATAGTGTGAAGGCACGTGGTAGTAGAGTAAAATGTTTACAATTTAGGTGTTTAGGGCTTTCATACACTCTTTAAATTGTATATGAACACTTGATTTGGTGTTAACTTGAAAAAAAAAAGTATTTATTCGGACAATTTGTGGGTCATTCATCATTAAATTTGGAGAGATGTAACACCACGGTTTCTACAGTATGGTAATATAAATTTGCTTATATCAAGTAGATTTTTTTCTGCTCTTTAGCTTTAGGAGTTTACTTCAGTTACTACTAATCATAGGATATTTTCGTGTTTTTCCTTCCCAAGTAACGCAAATGCGGGATATTTTCATCAAGAAGTCCTCCACAAAGGCAAATTTCTCCAAATACTCGATCCAGAAGTTCTCTTGTCTTCTGGATTGGATTCAAAATTGCAAGGCTGCGGAGTTGAGCATTAGTAGTCGTCAACCCAAAAAATTGGGTCGGCTGTTCAACGACGGTTATGAAAATAAAATATATATTGACTTCCGATCTGAATATAAATATTTATATCGTTAATATTTTGTTGTAGGTAGAAATATCCAGTTTCTGAAAATAATGTAACACTTCTGTTACCACTTATTTCATTTTTGGAAAAAAGGAACCATCTTTTTAAGATGGTACTAGGCATAAGTGGGTTAACATATCACTTTCTCGTAATAATATGTTGAATGTTACACAATTGTTTTACAACCAATAAACAATGAAATTTCATCTGGTGAAAATCTTTATCGTCGTTTGCGTGACCATTTGTTTAACAGAGATTGGGTTTGAGCAAACGTGACTCGATTTTGAAATTCCTGTATTGTTATTTCATCTCCCTCAACGAGAAGACACGTGTTTAGAAGATAATTTAGAAAATCCCTCGTTCCACTAACTGTATACCACTGATTGGTACTGATTTTGTTACAAAGAAACAGAGACTTTTCAATGGTTTTTATTTTAATTTCTAAAGTCGATAATGAACAGGGCTGCTAGATATTAACCTTTTAGTAAAATATTTTAAAAAGTGGTAAACACTTATTAACTAAACACTGATTAAGTTTCAAAATTTTTGGTCATTTTGCAGATATTTTAAAAGTTTTACCACCAGAAAGTTATAACGGAGTGATTATTCATATTAAATTTTGAATCATTTACTTGTTGTGGTGTGGAAAAAAACTTTAAAACAAATTTACAAAAAAAAGAATCATAAATTATAAACTTAGCTTCATACTACTAGAAATTCCCCTACCCCCAAAAGCGTAAAAAGTATACAGCCCTGAATTTTTTTTTTTTTGACTTTTCAGATTTCACTACAAAATTTTTAAAATTCCATTACGAGTGACATTAATTTTTTTAAAAAAAAAATGCTATTACACAGGGTTGCTACAGGGAACCATAAATGTAAAGAGGGGTGATTAGTAAAAATCAAAAATGTGTTAAAATAAATAAAAATTAGCAACTTATGCAAGCACAATTTTTTTAGTTTACTATCAAAGGCGATGGCAGAGAATTTTAAGGTTTAAATATGAATAATTTATAATGCATGTTCTGGTTGTAGTTACGGTGGAATGATTAAATAATTTAATTAAATAAAAAAAAGCATTAAGATTTTGCCACCTTTTTACATTTTTAGTTGCCTGTGGCATTAGTAATTACGAGTATGTTCGTAATTGTTAATAGTTAACTACCATTTTAAATATTGAAGGAAGTTAAAAACTTCTGGATTATGGCAGGGTTAACAAAGGTACATCAAAAATATTTAAGTGGCAATAGTTTTCTAGCAGTCTACCAAACTGGATTGGCGTTCTTCTGATAAAACAGTCGTTAACATTTTTGAAACATTTTTCATTCAATAGATGTAATATTTTTATAAATGCATTAGAGGAACCGAACTATTGCGGTAATCAAAAGAACATTTTTTTAAGAAAATAAGATGCATATTTTCAGATGCTAATTTTACAGTACTCTTAAAATATATTGATAGAGTTGTTATGGTTACTTTTTTTTCTTCGAGCAATTTTTAATGCATACTTTACGAATATCTAATGATGAGACAATTCAACAGAATTAGGCCTATGCTATTGTTAATAACATTTAATATAATTATTTGCCCATTTTTTTCTAATATCTGCTTCCTTTATTAAAGAAGAAGAAAAAAGGGGGGTTGAAAAACTGTATCCAAAACCCCAAGCCATAACACGTTGAATGCCACGCTAATTTTGCATGGCTTGCTCGTCTGTCCACACGGTAAATAACTACACACTAAATTTGCAAATGTTAGAGAGATTTTGCTAGTTTTTAAAAGGTGTTGGATGACATAGCTGAAAAAAAA